TTTTCATTTATGTCCCACACAAGAAAGAAAGTCATACAGTTTGGAACGATGTGCTGATAAGTAAATGACAGATTATTCTTTTGTGGGTGATCTATACCTTTAACAAGGGAATTTGAGTTGAAAAACTACATTACCCATGATTCTGTAAAGAAAGCTCCACCGGTCAGAGAATCGCTACAAGAAAATTGCACCAGACAAAAGGTGTGTTCGACTTGAAGCGGCCGATTATACAGACCGATTGGCGAGCAGGACGAGGCCGAGGGCCATGAGAGAACGGCGCGAGGCCGGTGGTGTGATTGATAATGAGCGACACCTGTGCGACGAACCGGTCTCGTATCTCTGGAGGAGCGGAAGCATAAAGGAGGAGCGTCGACAGTGAAGATCGAGAGAGGCCGGGCCTGGATTTATGTTGTGTTTTGTTATATGTGACGGCAGTCGTCCATGAGGGGCTGCTGTCTTTTACTTTCGTTTTGTATTTGTTTATTTTATTATTAAATTGTGTGTTGAACGTTCGCCGGTTCCTGACTCCTTCTTCCCGTAACATCTAACTGCATTACAAACATCAATGTACAGCGAGAGCGATTCGAAAGCATACGGATCATTTTATTTTATCTTCATGCATTTTTATATCAACACTTGAATGTTAAAAAATGCAACATTTTTAACAAAAAGCTAAGAATATCGTGTTTTTTCAAAGACTACAACGTGCATAAGCAATGCTTTAATCGCTTGTTTCAGCTCCTTTTTTGCCTGTGTTTTAATCCGAAGGTTCTGTAGTTTTTCAGTATGCGTCATAGCGCCCCTACCGTATAACAGTGAAAACACGGAAAGCCATACAATTCTGTCAATGGCAGGGAAGCTGAAAGTGTGCGGGCACTGTTGCACTCTATTAAGATGATAACATTTGAGCCGGCTACCTATATAGGCAGTAGACAGCAAGGCAGCTCACTAGGATTTGGAACAGAGCAAATATTTTAGACAAGGAGAGTTACTGCCAACAAAAACCTCCATATTGTGAAGGCCCAAATTGGATGGGTTTCGTCTAGGCCTCTGTTTGAAGGTGGAGAGCCTCTGTAGGGTTTGGACCCACAGAACTCTGCATGTGTTTTCCTTCCAATTCCCATCATTCACTCCTCACACTGAATGACAGCCCATCCATCACACTTACTGACAACAGTTCATCCAACAACACCGCCTACACCGCCTTGTGGAGAATGTGGCTCTGGAGAGCACGTCTCGAGTGCGTGTCTATTTATGAGGTCGGGTTAGACTGTGTACACTTGGGAAGAAGTGTTTAGTTGTGTATCAAACACAATTGTTTGGGGAAGGTAACAGGAAGGCGGTGAATTGGCATAGGCAGCACTCGGCTACATTACAGACTCAAATGCAACTGCAACCCAATAAGAATGACGTAGGTTATTCTGCTTGGCACATACACTTGTGAAAATTAAAGTGGCCCAGGAACATTGACAAGGGCGTATGAGGACGGAGTGTTGGGTAATTGTGTTGTATGCTCGCTCACGTCTTATGGCTTTACCTGTCTTAGATATATTCTTAAAGTCCATCAATGGCAGATATACAAGTAGCCATTAAGAAGGAAATGATTTTAATTATTAAAGGGAGCTTAGCGGGTCAGGGGCTACAATGACCAATTATTACTCTCTGAAAATGCATAATACCTCATCTACATCTTTATTATGACCTATAACCCCAATCTTCAACCGATAACAAAGAATATTGTGTGCGTATATTTATCTGTATGTACAATATAAAACAGCATCATGACTACAGAGTGTACATTATTCGTGTGGCTGCGTTTGGACTGCCTCTTTGTGTCAGAATGCTCTTCCTCCACTGACTGGAGCCGTTTTACACATGGCTTCCTTTTTTTGTCTGGCACATTGCGAAGGACAAAAGCAATCTCAGGGGAAGAATTGTCTGTGAAGGCACACAAAACAGGCAACTTGTCCATTTCAAATTTCACAAATGCACCAAGCAAGGTCTTCCCAGGGGCTTAGACAACACCGCTAATGGAGAGGGGTTTGACAGCGCTCGGCGGAGGAAGCCGTGGGACGGCTGGCACAAAAAGGCAGCCATCTCGAGACAGCCTGTTGTTAGAGGGTCCTAGGAGATTCCTCGGACGGTACCGTGGTGCATACACGAACTAGAAGGAGAGTACCGCAAATGCGCACACACCATCACACGCACGAATTTCACACACACTCTGTACATAACTCCCTGTTCTGGCATTCCCTTTCATTTACTTGAAGTCCACAGTACTGTGAGATTATAGTAAAAAGTTACTTGTGCCTCATATGCTATTATATAGTACCACTGGGTATTCTAGAAAAGAAGGAATAAATAAATAAAAACCAAACCTATCTTTGATTTATACACATTCATAGTATTCGTGACAGATTTTGGTTTCAGTATCATTGGAAATACAGCTGTATCGAACATACAGCGGTTGGTATGTAATACAAACTGAAATTGTCCTTGAAGCGGTGAGGATGACATCTGAAACCAGACTGCAGACTTTCTGTCAAGTACGTACACTCCATGTATATACAGATGCAAAGATTCATATCAGTGTGTAACAGTGCAGTGTAGGTGACATAGTCACCATGCTTTTGCCAAGTAAGACATGTTCCTGGATCAACAGGAACCTAACCTAACCCTTACAATAATCCTTGAACAACTTTTCTGTCAACATTTTTGTCCTAACCATATCTCTACCCCTAAACCTACCCATAACTTATCTCTAAAATTAAATGGAAATGATAGGTGAATAACACTGATGTAGAAGCACCTAACCCTGGTTGTTAGCCTCAACTTGACAGACTATAAAATTGTCCCTCAAATCTGATTGATTGATTGATTGATTGATTGATTGATTGATTGATTGGAATGTTGGTCCAGGATCAACATCATGATTTTGCCAAGTAAGACGTGTTGCTGGATCAACATTTTTGTTGATCCTGGAACAACATTCCTGTCCAAAAACATAACCCTAACCCTACCCATAACTTCACCTATCATTTCCCTCTGATTGTAGGGATAAGAATGGTGTAGAAGCCCCTAACCCTTGTTGTAAGCCTAAACTTGACATAAACTGTAAACTTCCCCCAAATCTGATTGGCTGATTGGAATGTTGCTCCATCATCAACAAGGATGTTGATCCAGGAACATGTTCTACTTGGTGAAATCACGTACACCTAGTTGACACACAGAATCAATTGCACCCACGTTGTTTTAACACCCAATTCACGAAATCAAGTTATGCAAATCACATAAGTTGCCACAATTTGCACGCTGTAATTACGCAGATCAGTTCTGAATGGTAGGTTGGGAAGGATAAAGCAGACTACTGCAATCTGGCGTACCTAACTGGGAATGTACATACAGCAACTCTAGGCACCTGAAATGGTGATTAAAGTTCGCTCGACTGCATGACACTTTGGGTTAAAATGCTCTTTTCCGTCATTTAATCATCATTTGCAAGAAAATTTGCTTAGACCAAATCTCCTAAACATTTCTTTTACCGTCTACTTGCTGTAGGCAGTAATAGCAAAACTTTGTGGCAGGCAAACACAGTAGCATAGATTTTTGGTGAAAAGGTACAATAATCAGCCTAATTTACTTTTGGTTTTGGGTTTGCGGGGGGGAAAAAACGATTAACAACGACCATTTAAATACAGTTAAACTGGACAGCGGGTGTTTTTTGTGAAATATAGCACATTAAGGTATAGCGCACTCATTTAGGGAATTGACCCGAGTGTGTTCTGCATTTACTGACCCACTGAAGTCTCTCTATGCCACTACATCAATGACATGCTGTCATCCACTGGAATTTCCATCGAGGGGTCATGTTTTCCAATCACTTCAAGTATTCTTCTTGTTAGTAGATTGTTAAGGTATTAATAAAATTGCCTTTGAATTTGAAGTGTGGGCCACAGTCAATGTGTGCATTGCATTCTGGAAAGAAAATGAATGAGAACTTTGCAAATGAGATGGACAGTTCGTATTCCCAGAGCCACCCCCATCGCCATCGCCATCAACAGGAACTACAGGTTCTCGGGTAATATCCTCCATTTCCAGGGGCGGACTGGCCATCTGTGTGATCTGGAGAATCACAGAACGGCCGGTACTCCAGGACGGCCGGCGGGCCGGCCCACCACCCGCCACACACGCAGTCACAGACATACCAAGTCTCCCGGAAGTTCCGGGAGTCTCCCGCATATTAATAGCGGCTCCCTGATGCCCGCAAATTACTTAAAATCTCCCGGAATCTAGAGCGAGCAAGAGCGCGCATGCGTAGCGCGCGCACGGCAGAGAGAGGGAGCGAGCTAGAGACCTTGCGTGTGTGTGCTAGTGTGTGTGTGTGCCTCACGAAGCGCATACAAGGTCCCAACCAGTGCGGGCTGGCTTTTATCTTTACTACTCCCGAACCGAATTAATCAGAAATTTATTTGCAAGTTACTTGCTAGGGATGATGTTAGGAAGTGATATTCAGCTTGCTACATTTTTAATGATTACAGTAGTTAAAACAGCTAAACTTCAACATTTTAGCTGTAAAATGCAACATGCAGTAGCTAATATTAAGAAATATGTTGTGCTTTTACTTTTAAAAATGTTGGTAATGTTACAGTTAATGCTTACAAACTTTGAAGATTTTTAATACAGAAGTTACATTTGTAATGGTGTAGGGCCAGCCTATTTTCATTTAGATGTGGTATTATTATTTGTGCAGTAGCTAAGATTAATTACTGCATACATTAATTAAGATTATTAAGTAATAAATTCATTTTAAGACAGCATGGAATAGATTGTATAATATGCTGTTAGCTATAATTTGGATGGTAGTATCATGAGCCACAATTGAAGTCATGTGACACTCATGCCAGGCGGCAGGCGTTATTGTTGTCGAGTTTCCGCGCGCCGACTTCTTTGGGCCAAAGTCCAGGGCCGTTTTTTAGTCCCAGTCCGTCCCTGTCCATTTCTCTTCATGGGGGCAGTCGCTGGACCTTCCCCTCCCCATCGTGTTTCATCATCCCAGCCTGCCCTTGGTCCTTTGACCTCTCTGATTCAATAAATAAATAAACTGCACTTGGGGAAATCTTTCCACCCCACTGCCTTCAAGAGTTCAAAAAGGGAAACAAATAAAGTGAAAAAAGGGTCAGACTGCACCATGAGATCAAAAGAAGTAGAGAGAACCAAAGAATGAGAATAAAAAATTCTTGTTCTTCAGTTCCTGTCTTGTTTTCTTTTAATACTTCAGTAGGGGGGCAAGCACTTTGTATTTTCCCTTGTAAATATGCATTCAACTTTTTAGATTTGTGATATATGATTGAGTTTATTTTTACGTACATCCTTTAATTATGTTTTTATTTTATAGGGTTTTTTTCCAATCGTAGATGCAACTTTTGGAAGAGTCACTGTGTGTTGTCTTGTACAGAGGCCTGCATCAGGCTGCGTTTCCTTTACTCTCTACACTGTCTGAAAGGCCTTGCTTTGAGCAGGGACCATGACTCCCGCCGGGATGGCCATGCCCACCGGAGGATTCGGGGGTCTGAACTTTGGGGTGGCAGGGGGTTCTGGGGTTTTGGGCACGACCTGCGTGTAGGCCGGGGGAGACTGGGGGAAGCCGTGGGGCTGTCCGTTCTCCTTGAGAGCGGCGACAGCGGGTGGCCGTGGACGTTGGCTTCGGAGTGCGCTGTTGTGCACCATGGACTGTGTAGAGGAAGCACCGGAGCGGGAGCTTCCAGAGCGGGACGAGGACAGGGAGTTGGGCTTCACCAGCTTGGCTTTTGGAGCTTCTGCATCCTCTCTACAAAAGTAATGAAAAAATAGACATGGTTGGAGAAGTCAATATTAAAATAGAAAATAAAAAAATAAAGCTCAAGTATAACCATTGTAGGCTGTGCCTAAACGTGCTGCCATTTTATATAATTAAACATAATTACATAAACATAAAATTAATATATTCAAAAACAAATAAACAAACAAACAAAAGCTGGTCTTTATATAGGATTATTATTAGTGTTTTACATTTACATTTTATTTGACATTTTTGAATATTCACTTATATATTTTATCCTGATAGACAGAAAAGCTTCAAGCACTATTTACTCTATTTATATATTTATTATAAAATATTTTTAAATAAAGAAGAGAGTTCAATAGCATATTAGTTATTAGTTGTTGTTTTTTTATAATGGAATTGATAAAAGACATTTCAGGTGTATTGAATCAACTATACATTTGGTATCATGACAATCCTGGCAATTCATGTTTGTACAATGTTTGTAATGTACTTGCTACAAGGTACTGTAACCTCCAGTATTACAAAACTTAGGCCTGGTTTCACAGACAGGGCTTAGATTAAGACAGTATTAGGCCTTAAATTTAAGTAGCTTTTATAAACATACCTTTAAAAAATCTGGTGTGCGTCTTGAGACAAAGAAATGGCAGTGACATTTTTTTAAGATACTATATGCCAATGCAAGTTTCTTTCAGTTAAAACAGCTCGAACATTCATTTTAGTCTGGGACTAGCTTAAAGGTGCAGTGTGTGACTTTTAGCGGGATCTAGTGGTGAGGTTGCAAATTGTCACCAACAGAAGTTACGGTGGCCGACAGGAAAAGATGTAAGCAGTTAAGCAATGAGGTTTCTTTACAAAGATAAATTAAGAAATTATGTTTACTTTATTATTTAGTAAAACAATATGTTATTGCGAATATTATTGTTACTTGATCATCATTGTGCCAGTGTTTTATTCGCTGACTTTAGCTCGCTTCTTTGTACGAAGAACAACATAGTGACGAAACGCACTCTGTAGTAGTTTGTCCGTTTAGGGCCACTGTAGAAACATCTTGGAATTTCACTGTAAGGGGACCCGCGGTGTATATAGATAGAAATGGCTCATTCTAAGGTAATAAAAACATAACGGTTCATTATGTAAGGTCTTTATACACCACTGAAAACATAGTTATGTATATGATATTGCATTTCTGTCTACAGATCCTCCTAAATTTTACACAATGCACCTTTAAGCCTTGCCTGTGAAATCAGGTGTAAATGTGCTAAACTGGCATAAGAGATCATGACAGTGAATGTGCACGAGAACGGTCCCCATGTTTGTGTGTGCATAATTCAGAGATACAGCCATGGTTTGAGGATGCATTATTCATGTGAGTAGAAAGAGTAAAGTTCTGTCACTATATAGGCCTAAATACAGTAACAGCTGTCTAATGTATTATAAAGATTGACCTGAAGACAATATGAAGTGTGTGTTCCATCCTAAACATACTCAAATAGGTAATATTAAAGGAACACTCCGACTTTTTGGGACTTTAGCCTATTCACCTTATCCCCCAGAGTTAGATAGGTCCATCCATACCTTTTTCATCTCCGTGCGTGCTATAAGTCTGTTTGACACACCCACCGCTAGCCTAGCTTAGCACAAAGACTGGATGAAAATGGTTGCAGCTAGCATACTAATCCAAATAAGTGACAAAATAACCCAAACATTTTCCTATTTACATGTTGTGATTTGTATAGTCACAGAGTGTACAAAAAACAAAGTCACATGAGACACAGACATATTTTAACCGTATAAATACTGGGAACCAGGGGCCTAGAAGCAATTTTGACTTATGGGAACAGACTGTATTACTTAGTTTGTTTCTAAGCAGTGATTAAATTGTGATTTATTATGTGGGCTCTCCCTAGGGGGGTCCGGGGGTATGCTCCCCCGGGAATTTTTTTTTAAAAATAAACCATTAAATGGCACTTTCTGGAGAGTTTTGTGCAAAGAAATTGAGAAAATGAGTCTTACATGATATGTGAAAAACTGCAAGGTTAAGAGCATATACTTTGCATTGTTGTAGTATCAACAGGTATTAGGACATTTAGCATTTACATTACTGTTAATCAGTCATGTAGCCTACTGATTAACTAAAAATAAAAAATTCAAATAAATGGTTGATTTAATTTCCATTAACCACCTAGCTTACCCTCCAAGGATAGATTGAAAAATAAAATCAATCTATCCTTGTGGAAAGGTTCCTTGGTAGCTAAAAGTAGGTCTAGCAAGTCTTATATTTCTGTAATTCACACAGATCAAACACAAATATGCTGCCTGAATAGATTGCTAGTTTATTTTGAGTAGCCAGCTAGCAGTTCTCTTGGCAGTTTGCTGATAATCCGGTGTCTGAAGTAAAATGCTCGAAACATCTCCTGAGAAAAATCACATGGCCAACCTAGTCTTGGTCATTTAATTTAGATTTAGTCTTATTTTCCTTACCTTGTCATTCAAGGCCAGGGCACTTTATGTATTACGCTTCCACATCCCGCGCAACTAGGATCTCCCAGGAACACTCATTATATATTGTTGCGTACATTTATCCGTGTCACCTAGATGCGCGTGCGCGAGCGGTGCGCGATCATGGTCGACTGACAACGAGATTAGCAGCTGAAGAGTTCGGCCGTTTTTAAAAAATTGAATTATTTATTTAAAAGTTGCCGAATGGATTCATTTGGAGACTCCGAAATCGGCAGAGATAGGCAGGCAATGCAAAACAAAATCTTACATTGGGAAATAGTGGGGGGGACAAAACTTCGATTTTGAAATGTGGGGGGGACATGTCCCCCCCACGTATAATGGCTCCTACGCCCCTGGGGAACTATATTCTCTGAAGGCGAAGCACTGCTACTTGGGCGGAGTGATAACCGCAGCACCTGAGACGCGCCGTGGTGAGGAGCAGAGAGCGCGTCTCAGAGCGCGAAAATGTTTGCGTTATTTTGTCACTTATTTGGATTAGTATGCTAGCTGCAACCATTTAGATCCAGTCTTTGTGCTAAGCTAGGCTAGCGGTGGGTGCGTCAAACAGACTTCTAGCACGCACGGAGATGAAAAAGGTATGGACTGACGGCGGACTTATCTAACTCTGGGGGATAAGGTGAATAGGCAAAAATCCCAAAAAGTCGGAGAGTTCCTTTAAGAGTGAAAGTGGAACTATAAAAACACAGTCAATACTGAGATCTCACCTGATCTCATTAGGTGTCTCCTCCTCCTCATATTTCTTCTTCTCCTTCTTGCGGAAGACCAGCCAGATGATGAGAATGAGGAGGAGAACGCCGAATGAAACGCCAACCACAGCGCCAGCCACCACACCAATGCCTCGCACATCTAAACACACAGAAGGACATTTCTGTCATATTGTCAAACGTCATTACATCATATCGGATTTGCCTCATTCATATGATGACAAGAATTCAAAAATTATAAAGAGCAAAACCCTAAGGACACCAGTGAAAATGTTTCAAATTAGTAGAAGAAAATCATCACAAATTATACTATCACGAAAACAATTGGAGTGGATTTTTTTTTTTTTTTTTAAATATGTTACATTTACATGCACATAAATCTAATTGTACCCTGGTAAAGGGATGTTTATAGGCATGCTGCAAAGCAGAGAATCATTCGACTTCTAAACTGTGGTAAAAATGATGTGTCAGTTTGCATTTATAATAAAAAGAAAAAAAAAAAGAAAAAAAAATCCATACAGCCCTCAACATGTACATCAAAAATAAAAACATATATTTTTTAACAACATAAAATGAGCAATCATTATATTCTAAACCTAATTTCAGCTGAATGTCTAAAAGCAATTACATTTACATTGTTACACCATTGCACATGGATATACATTTTTTTGTACAGCAACTTGGCTTTCAAAATCTGTATCTGAAAGTAAGGAACAGATGACATCTGTTTGACATGCAATGCTGTACAATTAACCAAGAAAATTACATAAGTTATAAGCACTTAAAGGTGCATAAAGTCATTTTTTCCCTCATTAAAACCCACAGTCATATTAATACTCTAATAACAGCATTTTAGGTAACACTTTACAATACGGTTCCATTTGTTAACATACTAGGTTAACATTAACTAACAATGAAAACATATTCTAAAGTATTTATAAAGCTTTCAACATTTAGTAATGCATTAATAAAATCAAAAGGTTATATCTGTTAACATGAGATAACGAACAGTGAACAGTTGTATTTTTAACTAATGTAAATACAAATTAATTAATACTGTAAAAAATGTTTAGCTAATTGTTAGTTAATGGGACCCTTTTGTAAAGTGTAATTATTATTATTATTTTACATAAAGCAGGTCGCCTCATGAGGGCAGCCAAATTGAGATTACATGACAGTCACATCTGGTCTGTGTTTGTGTTTTGCTTCAGTTGGACTTGTGGCTGTGTCCAAAATCACCCCTATACTCTTAAATAGGGCACTATTTGAGGGGGCAGCTTGTAGTGGTGTCCGAAACCATAGTGGACGTTATCGAGTGCACTCATTGAATCCCACAATGCACCACAATAACAATTGTACAACAGAAGTACGCTCAAAGTCTAGAAAAAAACCCATGATGCACTGTGAGAGTCACGCACCAAATTAATTCCCATGTCAGACCAGAAGATGGCGCCTAAAGCTGAATCATCCATCCATCCATTTTCCACACCGCTGGTCCAATGTGGCTACAGCGTAATATCGCAGGTATACAATCTGTTTTAATTGATTATGAAGTTATTTCATTAAAATGTTTATACATTCTTGTTTCCACAACAGAGTTCAAGATACATCTTTTCATCACTACTGGAGCTTGCCAAAGTTTCAAATAATTATCAAACAGCAAACGCGGCAGCCCTTCCTGCGCATTCAGTGTCCGAATTCACTCACTCGTTTTCATTCACTCCCTCAAGTGAACTATATTAGTGGAGTAATGTTGGGAATAGTGAATGACTGGGTATAGAGGGCGATTTCGGACCCAGCCATTGAGTTAGTTTCTTTGTTCATGCCCTTCTGTTGCCATAGTTTTTGATTTGCCCTCATGTGTCTCACCTGTGTCTTGTTAACTATTTAGTCCCTAGTGTGTTTTTTTTTTTTTTTGTGTGTATTTACAGCTCTCAGTTTGTGTTTCCAGTAGTCTGTTATTATCTACATTTGTTGGCTGTTCCACTCCTGCTTTTTGGTATCTGACATTTATGGGAATCCTGAGTTTTTGTGTTATTTTTGAATTTTGGAGTAATAAAAGACTGCTGCACAGCACATACGTAGATCCTGCTGCAACAACCGCTGTGACATTGACCAGCCAAATATTAGTACCTTTAACTCAGCAACCCTCCTATAATTGGTTATTTTGCTCCGTTAATAAATTAATCATGTCTGACTACTAATAGCATTTCTACAATGCCAATGGTACCTGACAACTTTCTTTTGCATGATTCTACATTCATGCCACTGGGTGTCAGTATTTCAGTCTAAGGTGACTGCCATATTGGCCAGCACAACATAAATAAATACTAAGTGCACCACGTATTTTTGTTTGACAAATGGCTTTTGATTTGTTCATTGTTTAAACGTTATATTATCAGGGGAGCCCATATGGTACTTACACTTTATTAGTGTTCTCATGAGATATCTTGCGAGTAAAACTGAATAAGTCAGACCCAAATTAAACTTTGCCAGCCACAACTGTAAAACGACTCTTTCACATATTATTTCCTCTGTTGTGAAAGACTTGCACAAGGCCTAAGTGCAGGACAGTTGTCAAGAGTTTATATAACTCCCTCCATCTTCTCCTCTGGTGAACATTAAATTCTTCTGCTTCTTCCAAAACCATTACACACACACTCTGAAGGATGGCTATTTGAGCAAGAGCAATGACAAATGGCCACACTCTGGCTTTCTGTAGTTCCCAGTGCTCAGTAAAGAGAGAGAGAGAGAGAGAGAGAGAGAGAGAGAGAGAGAGAGAGAGAGAGAGAGAGAGAGAGAGAGAGAGAGAGAGAGAGAGAGAGAGAGAGAGAGCAGGTTTGGCTATACTTGTGAGGGCCAAATGCCCTTACTTATATAGTGAAATATTATGACAACCGACTAGTGAGGACTTTTCACTGATCCTCATTAATAAAAGAGGCTTATAAATTGGCTGGATTGGCCCAAACATGTCTTTTTAATTAAAATCTAGTGTTTTGCACATTTTTGATATGGGTAGGTTTAGGGGTAGGGGATGGGTTAGGTAATAGAAAATATCATTAATCTGATGAAATCAATGGAAGCATATCCAATGCCTTTACTAATATATTGAAACAAACATATGAGTTTGTGTGTGTGTGTGTGTGTGTGTCTGTGTGTGTGTGTGTGTGTGTGTGTGTGTGTGTGTGTGTGTGTGTGTGTGTGTGTGTGTGTCTGTGTGTGTGTGTGTGTCTGTGTGTGTGTGTGTGTGTGCATGTGTGTGTGTGTATTATCCGAAATCCTTGTCCTTGTAGGGTAATTTTTTTGGTACCCATGAGGAAAACAACTTATAAATCATACTAAGTGATGTTTTTTGAAAATGTGAAAATGCAGCAAATTTTCTGTGATGGGTAGGTTTAGGGGTATGGGTAGTGTAAGGGGAGAGAATATACAGATAAAAATCACTATGTCTATGGAAACTCCCCATACAACATTAAAACACAATGTGTGTGTGTGTGTGTGTGTTTGCGTGAGTGTGTGTGTGTGTGAGAATGTGTGCAAAGAGAATATGGAAAATAGTTTTTTTTCCCAAGACAGCAAAGCAGGAAAATATTGTATTTTTTAAGATAGTAATACTAAACTAACTAACTAACTAACTAACTAACTAACTAACTAACTAACTAACTAACTAACTAACTAACTAACTAACTAACTAACTAACTAACTAACTAACAAAAACTACCCAATATTTAATCTGTCAAAACAATGGAAACAATGGTGTCATACCAATGATAATAGTATTTTATTTGACAGTATATTGTTAAAAAAAACTATATTATAAATATTAAAGTGTTCATGACATGAGCAATCAACTTTGCCTCAATCTTTTGACATATAAGAGGTCTTTGTAGCATTAAAACCTCCAGCATGTTTCATAGAATAAAATGTCCACCTCATAATAAACAAAGCATTTATCTAATCAAGCTTGAAGAAAGGCTTGTTTTGATATTGAGTGACCTGTGACATCACACAGGCAAACACATTTACATAAGACTGCCTGCAGAGCAAGACGTCGACGAGTAGTTACACATCATCGCACCATAGGCCCCGCCCACTGACATTCAGTCGCTGTCTACACTGGATGTGTGTTGCGTCAAAAGCTAATGTAACCCATTATAATCACTGACTCAGTCTACACTGGATACAGTATACAGATGCACGTTCAGTTTCTGACACATCCACACATCGACAACAGGAAGAGTGAAAGAACGTTTGCTTTGACACATCCAGTTTAAACAGCTTGTTTGCATCTTTGTTCAGACTTTAGAAGGATCCCTGCATCGGAAACAAGTTTGTGGCTTATTTTTAAGCTTAATTAATTAAGGCTTAATTAAGCTTTCACATGAGAACTACTTTTAATATAGCCTAATATCTAGATTTATATGCCATTTGAAGCAATGCATGTTTGTGAAATTTCATTGTATTTTTATTAGTGCTGTCAAACGATTAAAAATATTTAATCGCAATTAATCGCACATTTTTATCTATTCTAAATGTCTCTTGATTTCTTTTTGTCCCATTATTTTTTCTCATTTTAATGCTCTTATCAACATGGAAAAGTGGATCGGCTTGCTGTGTGCAAATGTTTTTTGATTGAAAACAACATTGGCATATACTGTGTTCAATTTCACACTAACATTCTCACTTGGAGCAAATAATCTCTCAATGTAACACTGTCCATCAATAAAAGGGTGAAAGAAATACTGACGAGGTCCTGATATTGACGAGGGGGAGGAGAACGAAGGTCGCTTTGGTCGACGAAGCAACAAAACGTCCTCGCGCGGCGCAAGCCATTGAAATGAATGGGTTTCATAGCGCAGCGCCGCGTCCTGTTGCAAAAGCATGTGAAAAAAACTACAAAGTTTGCTAGGCCAAAAAGACCGTTAATCGCGCAATAAAAAAATTAACGCCGTTAAAATGGGTTTGAGTTAACGCCGTTAATAACGCGTTTAACTGACAGCCCTAATTTTTATATAGTGGTGTGCCGTGGAATTTTTTACTTATCAAAATTGTGCCGTGGCAAAAAAAAAAAGGGTGGGAAACACTGATTTAAACTGCATGAATCAAAACAATAGAAACAATGGTGTCATAACCATGATGCCCATAATAAACAAATACAAATACTCTCTGCAGTGTGGAAACAGCCTCCATCCATCACACTGAGGCTGTAGCTCCAGCTAAAAGCGCCACCACCGACTGATCCGGGATCAGAGTATCATAACATCCACACTTATTACACCCAGGGCAAAGGCTGACCTCAGAGCAGAACTCACATTGCATTGTGACCTCGATGATACAGTTCTCCTCTCCTACATCGTTGCTGGCGGTGCACTTGTAGACCCCGGAGCTGTCCTGCGTCAAGTTCCTCAAGGTCACGATCTCTGGGTTCTTCAGATCTGAAAACAGGAAAACATACTTATATACTGTACATATATAAGCTGAGGGACAACTACAGTCTATCAGATAATTAGGTAGACATGTTGGCAATTGTACGTTGTACATTTCTTCAGTTACACAGCCAGAATAAAGTCCTCTTTCTGTTTAGAAAAATGAATGTGAATATTTTGAATATAGTATAATATAATTAAATGTTTAAACAATTCTATTTAAACACTATTTTGGATTTTATCTATACCGGTATATTAAGTAAAAAAACACAAAAAACTGAGACTGAATTATTTAAATTTATTACTTGATTTTACTTTACTTAATTATAATGTTGTACACTATGTCCACCAAAACAAAAACGGACAATTGTAACAGACTTATTGTATTATAAGTCTATTAATTGTAACCACATACAGTATAACAGATACATCAAAAGATTAGATCAATAAAAGAAAATGTTATAAAAGAAAAAATATAGTGAATGATTCATCCATGCATATGTTTGATTTTTATCAAAATCTTCCAGTGAAAAATTCTTATGCTGGACTTCTCCAATAATTTAGCACACTTAACCCCCTTTCCTACAATTGACCGCACATTCAGATCTGCCTCCATCCAATCTACAACTGATGCTCAAGTTCACACCCTACATTATTTTCTTTTTGAATCCATTTCATTCAGATGAGCGTCACTATACAAAAGAAACAATCTGCCGCTACTTCTGTTACATCGTGACTTAAAAGGGATAAAATCGCCAACAGTCTCCCCAACTTCCCAAGTAGAATTATATATTGGTGTTTTTGTCATATTTAGCAAGGTTTCCTGTGTATTGTGTTATGTGCATTGCTCAAGAACACAATGCTGATGAAGCAGGATTATGGTATGAGTAGCTCTCCAGTTCCAGACTCATCCTGAACCTACAAAACAGTGCTAAAACAGTGCCGTCTTTTACGACTTCCTTTACTACACAGGTTTCAATCAAACAGAGTGTTTTAATCAGAGAAGGAAGTGAGAGCAAACCCAGTAAAGTGTGTGCGTTTATGTGAATGAATTAGTGTTTGTGTGTGTCAGGGTGATTCATGGTTCTGCTGGAACTCCAGTAGATGTGATGAACAGTAAATGTTTCCCTGTAGCCTGTGAGGAAGCGCTCGTGTCTTGAGACCCGAGAACCGCGTTTGCATCTTTGTCAGCCAGAGTGATTTGAGTCGCCTGGATCATTTACACATCCAGGATGCAATGCCTCCTGTTTCATCCCCCCATTCCTGTCCCATCATCCCTCTTCTGATCCACTATCTGCAGTGAATGCAGGAGTGGTGGAATGTTTATCGGCCAAGGAAAGCTTATTAGAGTGAGCAGGTGGTCATTGATGAGGGTGGGTAATTGTTGAGCTCGGGCGAAGGCACGGTTCATCTCTCCTGCAGCACTGACTGCATACGGCTAAATAGATTGTAAAACAATATGGGGCTCTGATGATCTGGTGTCAGCAGGAGAAACTGTTCTGAAAAAGTGCATTATTCTGTCCCATCTGCAAAGCCATTTTACACTCGAATTTGTGTGGTTCTTGCACTTTCGCTAAGTTGTTTTGTTTTCCCAAGCAGAACCCAATGAGATCGAATTCTAACAACAGCCAATATTTTGTATTTTGTAATGTAGTCTGACTATGTTTAGCATAGGCATGTTTAGCATAAACATAGCAATAAGTTAAAAAAAAGAAAGAAAAAAAAGTACTTTTGAACACAAGTACATCTATTTTGAAGGCATGTGTGACTGCAAATCAGTTGAATTCAGTTTGCAGTGTAGGCTATAGTCTTCTGTTTGTGTTATAAATATATAGGTATGCTATAGCTAAATCTCTACCGGTTGACACATTTCACATTGTATACTGCACAACCCTATAGTGCATGGGCTAATATCACTAGAGCTGTTGACATCACAGGTTTAATCTGCTTTAATCAGCACTTCTGTGGAAGAACTAAGCAATGCATTTGTCAAAGTGTGTAAAGTTCATGGCATCAGATCTTTGAAAGACATTCAAGGCTATTATTTGAGACAGTTAGCAGCAAGTAACTGTAAAAACCCCTTTCTGTCCAGAGTAAGGTACGATATGCTGGTTTGCGAGATGTTTGACTCACCGATGAGGGCGAGGGGAGGCAGTTTTCCCACACTCTTGCCTTTATCCAGCACTCTCTCCCATTTGTACTGAATGGGGTCAGATCCGTCTGAAGACTTACAGCTCAGTTTCACATCGCTGCCCTCCAGAAGCCGGCCCTCCATCCAGCAGCGGGGTTTAGAGGGCTTCACTGTAAACGAGGAAACACAAATGTGTGTTAATGTTAACTAATCAGTCTTTTAATATTGTTATCCAAAGCAGCTTACTATAGAAACAAGCCCCAGAATCACGTATCAACCCTTGTTGTGGGGTTTCAACCAACTACCTTTCAGTTACCAGCCCAGATGTTTGGTGATGACTGGGTCACACACACCACCTAGTGGTTGAATGACATCCAGAAAAATGGTTGCGCTTTTAAATCAGGGATGGTGAATTTTTAGCACAAAACATGAAACAAAGATTTTTCTTGTAATAATCTATCTATCTATCTATCTATCTATCTATCTATCTATCTATCTATCTATCTATCTATCTATCTATCTATCTATCTATCTATCTATCTATCTATCTATCTATCTATCTATCTATCTATCTATCTATCTATCTATCTATCTATCTATCTATCTATCTATCTATCTATCTCTATCTATCTATCTATCTGTTTGTCTGTATATATATATATCTGTATAGATGTGGTCTAACTATCTGTATCGATATTGTTTGACACCTTGAAGCAGTATTTTGAATTCATATATGAAACTAAAACTTGCAAACTCAGCACACTGCCTTTTTTTTTGCAGGAAAGTCAATATCAAAGAGGCAATCCATCTTAACTGTGACATTTGGGGAGGCAAGGGTCAGGATTTGGGCAAAGGTCAGGATTTGTTGTCCTGTGCACAGACTGGTTTGAACTCCCCTATGACCTTACGCAGCAGATCTGAGGGGACACTGAAGCCAAATCAAACACCACACTGCCTCACAACAGTTACCAAGTGACCTCAGACCAGTCCCACTGGCATCCTGCTTACCACAGCACTGCTCTAAACTGTTCTGGGGTCAGTTAGATGAGCCTGTCCAGAGGGATCTGTCTGGAGGCTGAATGACAGTTAGGAGACAGCCTGTAGACCTCTGTGGCCCTTACTGGCCCTATACTGACCCAGTCTATAAACACACAAACACATCAGAAGGATGCAGGAACCAATCCAGATATCAAACACTCTATACATGTGTGCATTTTCTACAATGGCATTCTTTAAAAAATTTAAACATTATCTATTTTAGATTTTTTTTTTTACTTAAACAGAGAAAAAATAGAAAAACTAAAATTAAACAATGGAAAGTTTTGACAAAAACAACAAATACATAATATATGAAATTCACGTTCATTCGTTACTCAAGTTGTTATGCTGATAATATAATTTGTCATTAATAACGTTGTATTAAATTAGAAAAATGCAAAAAAATTGGTCTCACTGTACAGTATATGTCAATATATTTTACAGAATCAGGATTAGTTAACTAGAATTACAACCATAAAAAAAACTTTTGTTATTGGAAATAAAATAAACCTTAACTGAAATAAAATAAAACAAAAATTAAACATATTTATTTCAGCTAGTTGCACTGCAGCACTTCTCATTTTTATGTAGAACTATAGACATAGGCCTATATATAAAAAAAACATCAATAAAAATGACAAAAACAACTAAAATTTTAATGAAAACAGAAAATATACAAATAAAAACTAATTAAAAATATTATATATCTAGTCTGGTTCTGTTGAGATCACAAGTTCACAAGAAGACAAGACAGTAAAATAAAATTCCATGGATTGTGTGGACTGTATGATTGGAAACAATATAATTATTATTTTTGCAATTCCAATTGGTGCCTGAAATAACTGCACTGTTCCAGGATGCGGTCCTCATCTCATAAAATAATCAGCGAACAAGATTTTTCACAGCTTATGCTCCATACTGAAAATCAATGAACATGCGGATGGACTCCAATTGAAACAATGCCCATTCGTTTAGCTCTGATTCAAGAAATCTCAGGAAACAAGCAGAGCTTAGATGGACCAGCATTCACAGTAGCTGCAAGCAATTAATACAAATTATGATTAATGCGTGTGCGTCATTTCCTGTCCACTCTCAACTGCAAATTTCGATAAAGGCTGAAAATAAAGGCTGAAAATAACATCCTCATGTGAACACTAACTCTCTGTAATGTGTTTATAGAGTGACGGAGAGGAAAGAAAAAAAGAAGAGTAGCGAGAGAAACAGGGGGTGGAGAATGAGGATTATGGGAAGGCAGAATTGAGCTAATCTTCTGTGATATGCTAATACATGAGAGAAACTCTAGGGTGGAGGCCGGATTTACATCAATTCATCCTCCCATTTATCTCTCTTTTCCCTTTCTTTTTCTCTTTCTTTCAACTTTACACCAATATCCTGTCCCTCTGTGGCTAACGTACTAATCTGGTAATAAAATGATTTAAGAAATAAAATTAGGACGTGATATACAACTTCAAACTGCTTGGCATAAGCCTGCGAGTCCTTGAAAATAGGAACTACGCAGCTAAAGCATATGATAGAGATGAGTCTAACGTCTTTCTTTTCGCTGTGGTGTCAGAGATACTGTGTTTGAATGACGGCTTGGAAACCCTATGGTCTAATAATGGATGCCAGACATAGCAAAATATCAAATCATGAGAAGCTCATCTGAACCTCATTTGGGATGACAGTAAACTGTTTTGCTAGAAGAAGAGAAATCACATAAGCTCGTAATTCTGCCTCTTCTGTTTTTAAGAGATAGAGCTCAATCAATGTTCTCTCATCCCATCATTTCAAATTAACATCCTCTCGATTTACCATCCAAAGTGAAGCAAACATAACCAGCCACCAGAGTTGAGAGTGACTGGCCAGCAAATGCAACCAATCATATTTCTAGGTTACGTCAATGATGGCCAAATTTTGTAATCTGAATGATGATCAAATTGAATCAGTGTGAGGCTGGCTGATGGAGGAAATGGTTGGGAGCTGATTCCAGGAAGACGAGCCTTACCCAGCACAATGAGGTTGACTTGGCTCCAGTGGTATTTTCCGCCAGTCTTGACCTTACAGTGGTATTCTCCAGAGTCCGTCAGCTGCAGATCACTGATGAGGAGAGAGGAGTCTCCGTTCAGGTAGTCGCCCGCGAAGGACAGACGACTGGCATGGTTGTCGTTGGTGTAGACCTCATTGTTGAAGAATGTGATGATCTGAAATGTGACAGCGAGAGAGACAGAAAGAGCTTTCATATAAATGAAGGAAATCAGTGGAATCAGACATCTATTTGAGTTGAAGCCAAAGGGACGATAAAACAGGCAAAAAAACTTTTTGGGTAACACTTTGGAATAATGGTCAATCATTAATAAGTAACTTTGCAGGATTAATGAGTAGTACTACATTAACACTTCAGCTACTACTATTAACTGAAAGGTTTAACTAATTAGTAAGTAATTTCAAATTAAGGAGATGGTTCCTTATTAGTTAATCAATAATTACTTAATGAGATTAGCCTCATTAATAACTAACTGAAATTATAAAGAACATTATCATGTGTCTGAGACGTAATCAGTCATTACACTAATTACTGCATCACTAATTACTCAAGTGTTACCTAGTCACTATGCAGGAAGTGATCTGGACCATTATTTTAAAGTGAAAAATTTCACTTTTAACATAATGGTCCAGATCACTAGTAGTCCTTGAGAGTAAAGAGTAAAAGAGTAAAAAAGACTATTGCTAACGTCTCAGACAGGTTAATGTTGAGAATAGTAATTAATTAGTAATTCTTTATAATTTGTCATAATTACCTATTAGTTCTTAATGATGCCAATATTAGTGCTGGGTTTCGATTCAAATTTCAAGAATCGATTCGATTCCGATTCTCAAGATCTTGAATCGATTATCATTATTCGATTCGATTCGATTCGATCCGATCCGATCCGATCTTCGAGATTAAGATAAGTGTTTTTGAAAAAAGCATATTTTTTTTCCAGCTGTTGAATTACAGGACTGTAGTTATGCAACATATTGATACAATTATTATAGACATTTAACTGCAAATTAATGGAGTATGGATGGTTGTAAAGAACAATCCCCCTTCCAGAGTGTTGATACAACTGCTTTCACAAACTTGCACTGGTGTAGACGACAGAGGACGCAGAGGTATATCAGCAGCAGTAACCGCAGAGGATTGCAAGTAACCGCAGCAACCGCGATATTCACGTTTTTTATAAGGCTATACCCTTCTTGTTTTGAACTTCATGCATGTGTATTGAATGTTAAACAAGTTCATAATGATAACAAACAAGACTGTTTATCGTGGTGATGTGTAGCCTACAGAGGCTTCGCACAGACAGTGAATGAGAGAGATCGGCAGAGCGCGTGCGATTACCTGCGTCTGTCTTTGAAGTCATATATGTATTTGTGAAAAAGGTTGCCGTGTCAAAGGAAAGCGAAATATTTGTCGTATCATCCTTTTAACGTTCACGTCACGGGTATTTACCATAAATGCGCGTCAGCAGCAGCGCTGGTCAGCATCCCACTGCGCGAGGAAGCCGCGGGGAAATAAAATCAGCGAGTCACGCATTGAATCAATGCCATATTGGTCTCTAATAAGTAAAGCATCAGCTTCAGCGTTACCCATGCGACGCATTGCTGCTCAGCTGAGCCTTGAAAAGTGGAACTCAAAGTTAAAAAATAATTAACACCTTGTTTCATTACATCTCTTTTAATGAATCAGCTTTTTTGAACGTGTTCGTTGAATGAACGGTTTAATGACTCACTCAAAGCCCGTTGTCGTAACAATGTGCGCGCTGAGTGAAAGCCTTTCAATGCGCATACAGGGATCTCCCAGTCGCGGCAAGTTAAAGTTCACGGGGAAAATGTAAACCTATTAAAATCGATCCTCTGAGTTACGGATCGATCTTTAGAAATTAATATGAAAATCGATTCAGAATTGGTGAATCGATTTTTTCAACACAGCACTAGCCAATATCATTAAGTAATTATTGATTAACTAAAAATGAACTCTCTTAGTGATATTATTGATTAGTTAACCTTGTTTCCATATTAGTTAATACCGGTAGTAGTAGCTGAAGTGTTAATGTTGTACTACTCATTAGTCCTGCATTACTTCCTGTTACTTTTTGAGTTGAGCTCTTTTAATTTGGGCCAGTAAGCAACCACCTAGAAACCAACCAGATACATTGGCAGCCACCTAAATCAACCTAGCGATGACCTAGCAAATCTAGTAGCTACATGCTAAAAGCAAACAGAAATGCCCTCACAACTAACCAAAACAAGCAAATGATCTAGCAACCATCCAGAATACTGGATAGCCACATAGCAAAGCATTGAAAACATTCAAAACACCTCAGAAATGCATTGCAATGCCTTGCCAGTCACCTAAACCAATAGATATGTATGTGTAGATGCCATATTCAACCGCTCAAAACACGTTGACGCACACACCGTCAGTGTGTTGTCACTCACTGTAAGAATGATGCCACAACATTGAGCAGCTTCTGGTTGTGAAACCACCAAGATTTAAATTCCCAAAGGAATAAGATAATCTTTCACATGGGGAGAATATGTTGGTTTGTGTTATATTAACTCAATATTGCATGTTTTTATCATGGTACTTTTAATGTTTTTACTTTTACTATGGTAACTTTTTAATGTCGTGTTAGCTGACACCTTTGTCTTGTTGTATTGTGTTAGTTTAGAAAAAAATTCTCTGCTGAAGTCTATTTCAAATATAGATATACAGTACATGCATCTAAATGCAGTTGCAGACACTCAGTCAACTTGCTCTCGAATGTTCACGGACCAGCTTTGACCTTTCCAATATGGCGGATGACCAACGCATTCTCATCCCAAAGCGTAATATTTTGACTCTTTTGCCAAAGCGTCTATATCCAACGCATATGGCACCCTTTAGCGTCAATATAACACGCTTTGGTTTTGGGTAGGTTTAGGTCTGGGGTAGTGTTAGGGTTAGACCACTAGGAGGCGCCATATATCTGCGTCTCATTTGACGCTAAAGGGTGCCATGTGCGTTGGATATAGACGCTTTGGCAAAAGAGTCAGTATATTACGCCTTGGGATGAGAACGGGCTCGGATGACTTACGTATAGCGGCCCATTGAACGGCCGCTAATGAGGCGCCTGTGGACATATACACTCACCGGCCACTTTATTAGGTACCCCATGCTAGTAACGGGTTGGACCCCCTTTTGCCTTCAGAACTGCCTCAATTCTTCGTGGCATAGATTCAACAAGGTGCTGGAAGCATTCCTCAGGGAGTTTGGTCCATATTGACATGATGGCATCACACAGTTGCCGCAGATTTGTCGGCTGCACATCCATGATGCGAATCTCCCGTTCCACATCATCCCAAAGATGCTCTATTGGGTTGAGATCTGGTGACTGTGGAGGCCATTTTAGTACAGTGAACTCATTGTCATGTTCAAGAAACCAATTTGAAATGATTAGAGCTTTGTGACATGGTGGAAGTAGCCATCAGAGGATGGGTACATGGTGGCCATAAAGGGATGGACATGGTCAGAAACAATGCTCAGGTAGGCCGTGGCATTTAAACGATGCCCAATTGGCACTAAGGGGCCTAAAGTGTGCCAGGAAAACATCCCCCACACCATTACACCACCACCACCAGCCTGCACAGTGGTAACAAGGCATGATGGTTCCATGTTCTCATTCTGTTTACGCCAAATTCTGACTCTAACATCTGAATGTCTCAACAGAAATCGAGACTCATCAGACCAGGCAACATTTTTCCAGTCTTCAACTGTTCAATTTTGGTGAGCTCTTGCAAATTGTAGCCTCTTTTTCCTATTTGTAGTGGAGATGAGTGGTACCCGGTGGAGTCTTCTGCTGTTGTAGCCCATCCGCCTCAAGGTTGTGCGTGTTGTGGCTTCACAAATGCTTTGCTGCATACCTCGGTTGTAACGAGTGGTTATTTCAGTCACTGTTGCCCTTCTATCAGCTCGAACCAGTCTGGCCATTCTCCTCTGACCTCTGGCATCAACAAGGCATTTCCGCCCACAGAACTGCCGCTCACTGGATGTTTTTTCTTTTTCGGACCATTCTCTGTAAACCCTAGAGATGGTTGTGCGCGAAAATCCCAGTAGATTAGCAGTTTCTGAAATACTCAGACCAGCCCTTCTGGCACCAACAATCATGCCACGTTCAAAGTCACTCAAATCAACTTTCTTCCCCATACTGATGCTCGGTTTGAACTGCAGGAGATTGTCTTGACCATGTCTACATGCCTAAATGCACTGAGTTGCCGCCATGTGATTGGCTGCTTAGAAATTAAGTGTTAACGAGCAGTTGGACAGGTGTACCTAATAAAGTGGCCGGTGAGTGTATATATATATATATATATACATATATGGTCTTATCAACTACTGCTAGCAACCCTGTAGCCACATAGTAAAATGCTAAAAACACTCAGAAACAAATGCCAACTAGTGCCCTTACAACTCTAGTAGCCACATAGCAACATCCTAAAACACCTCATAAAAATACAGCCACACCTCAGAATAACACATAAATGCTTGCAAGTTGCAACTATACCTAAAAAACAACCAAACCACCCAGAATACATTAACAGTCAAAGAGTGAAATTCTGAAAACACTCAAGACCCATCAAAAACTCATAGCAACGTCCTGACCACTGCCTGCAACACTCTAGCATTGTAGCGGGGAACTTTGCATTAGAAAGCACTTTCATTTTCTTCAGAAAATGTACAAATCTTTATTTTTCTTCTGATGGTTACTTCCCGACAACTGTACTACTGTGCAAAAGACAAAAGGGTTTTTCTGATTTAAAGAACCTCTACCTGTGCTGACTGCCCTTGGAAAAGATGCTAAATGGCTGTCACACACAAACACAGCTGCCAACACACACATTCACACACAGTCTGACTGTGACAGCCGCCTGAATGCCTGGGGTTAAGAACTAAACGCTGATGCCACGACACATCAGCAGACCTGCAGTTGGGTTCACCTGCCAAAGCTGTCGGTGATGACTGCTCGTTTCACACACACACACACGCACGCACACACACACACACACACACACGCACGCACGCACGCACGCACGCACACACGCACGCACGCACGCACGCACGCACACACGCACACGCACACGCACGCGCACGCACACACACACACACACACACACACAC